TTTAAAAAAATTTTATTGCAATTCTTGTGAATTCATCCCTATAGCTATGAATCTATTTAAAGCTAGATGATCATTTTTTCATATAAAATTTAATATGCAATAATCATTTTGAGATCAGTCAATCAGATTAAAGCCTACTATGCTACTATACACTAGTGGAGATATATTTAACTTGCAAAAATTTGAGTCTGTTAAAGAAAAAATATATGAGTTTCATTGTAATTATTGTAGTCTGTATAATTTAAATTTTTATTGAAGCAAATTCACATAACTGTTCTTGAATCTCTAAAGTATTATATATAAGAGATTAAGACTTTAATTAAATATTATAGTCTTTTATTACACTTAGAACTAATATATTATTTTATGACAAGTAAAACTCGTATTTTTAACTACAAGACTTACAATTTCTTGTCAAGATATTCAAATCGATGTAAATGTACTTTTAACATATAGTATATAAAGAATAGTCAGTTATTTCTATAATAGATCATATCAAACTTGATAAATTATGCTTCTTAAATAAAGTGAAGTATTTTATTAATGAATTAAAATTAGAAGAACAGAGAAAATTTCATATAATATATTATAAAATAAAGTCACTAAACGCGTTACAAGCACTAGAGGTGAGTTTAATACAAACTTAAAAATAATTTACTTATATTATAATAGTCTTAATAAGAATTCTATTAGAAAAATTACATTAATAAGATATTAATTAAAAATATACATGATACGGATGTGAATGAAGTTACTGTCTCTGTCATTAATATAGGTAATATAATCAAAATTATTTATATAATATTAAACTGTATATAAACTTTTCTTATGATGTAAAATTTATAGTTTTGAAGAAAAAATCTTCTGATTCATCTGAAGATAAAAGAAAAAAAATAGTTGTAAATAATAGTAGTGAAAAGGATTATGAAATAATAAAATTGAGAAATTCTGAATACTATAGATAAATTTTTTTTCTAAACTATTTAAAAAACTAAAAAAAGTTTTCAAATAAAAGAAAAAATTAGAAAAAAGTGAACAATAAAGTAAATAGAAGATTATATAAAAAAATATTGAATTAATTAATAGAAGAAATAATCAGAAAATAAAAAAATAACTTAAAAAGAAGTATTAAGCTGAAGATCTAAAAGGCAAATTAAAAAGAAACATATTCAAAATAACTGAAGTAGCATATATTATACATAATTAATATACTGTAAAAATAAATTTAGTTTATAATAAATGGTAAATCAATGATATATTATGTAGTAAATCATAAAGTATTATTAAGGTATTATACAAATATTATTGAGATATTAGAATACTAATATGTATGATATTTATAACTTGATATTTTATTTAAAGATATTCTATATTATATATTTATAAGTAAGATATTGGTAATGTAAATTGTTAATATATTAGATTACAATTTGTTATACAAATATTAAGTATTTAATAAAAAATTAAAAAAATATGTAAAAATAAAAAGATTATAAATAATAAGAAAATAATATATTTTATTAATTTAAAATAATATATTTTATTAATTTAAAATAATATATTTTATTAATTTAAAATTATATATTATATATATTATAGGAAATTATTAAAATAAAATAAATATTCTATATTGATATTCTATTCTAATAAGATATAAAATTTGTAAAAAAATATTTTTATTTAATAATATTTTTTTTTATTAATAAAAAAAGTTTTAAAATTAAAAAATTGTTATATTAAAATTAAATTTTTTAAGTCAATATAATATATTTTTTATCTTAAAATTATTTATAATACTTTCACATATTAAAATTAATATATAGTAAACAACTTATTTAAAGAGATATTCTTAAAACTATTAAATTATTTAATTTTAAAAATTTATAAAAAAAATTTTGAAAAGTAAGCAAATATTTTATGTAAGACAGAAATTCAAAAAATTAGTAATATCACATAGTTAGCTTATACACAAAGTCAAAAATAGTGAAAAATATATAAAATTTTATTGATCAAATGATTGATATCTACATTAATATCATTTATTATAATCAATATGCAATATGTTTAACATATATTATACATTAAAATAAATACAAGAGCAATTATAAACTTCTAACTATTCTTATATAAAATTTTTGATTTAAGATATTTTAATTATAATGTATTTTTATAAAATTTATTTAATATTAATTTATTTTTAATTATTTAAAATTTAAAATAATCAAGTTTTTATATTTATCAATTTAATTATAGTTATAAATCTAAAAAAAAATATACAATACAATAATAATAACTAGAATTTCTGTTAGAAAATAGAATATTTGAATATTTATTTGTAAATAAATAAAATTCTAATATTCGAAATATATAATTAATATTTGAATATTGAAATTAATTTCAAATATCAAAAATTAAAATTGATTTGAATATTATTTTGATTATCAATCAATTATTTATTAAAAAAAATAAAATAAAATAAAATTAATTAATAAAATATAGGAGTATGTAAAAAAATTATAATAGAATTAATTAATAAATACAAAAATACATATGTAAAAGAGAATTAAAATAAAATAAAAAGTAATTAAAAAGAAAATAAAAATAAAAATAGAATAATAATAATAAAAAATAATATAAAAAAATAAAATAAAATTGATTAATAAAATATAGAAGTTATGTAAAAAAATTAAAATATAAAAAAAAATATATAATTTTGAATCTAAATTGATTTTAATATTTAATATTTAAATCAATTTCAATTTATAAAATAACTTTTGATATTTAAATTATTTTAAAACTTTTAAATATTTGAAATACAATTTGTATTTTAAATGAAAACTTTTATATTTTATAAAAAGATATATTTTTTTTTAAAATTATATATCAATATATATTTTGTATAGCAGTATAATTAAATTTAAATAAATTGCTAAATTTACTATTTTATCAATACTAGCAAAAAGATTCAAATTGTTTTGATAAAATAAAAATTGTTAAAATTATAAATATTTGTTAATAAAAATTTTTATAAAATAAAAAATTTGGTAAAAAGTATTTAGAATTATCTAAAGGAATTTTATTTTACAAATTATATTTTATTGTAAAGTTATTTACCAATCTTATCAAACAAAAGATAATATATTATATAAATAATAATTTTAAAAAATTTATCAAATAAAAACAATAAAATTCAATTACTAATAATAGTTATTTATCAATATAAAAAAAAAATAGAATAAATTATTAAAAGGATGTTAATAATTTAATATACCTATCTAATATATAAAGTATTTTAAAATTTATTACAAATATTTGTAATAGAATTAATGAATATAGAAATATATTTATTTTAATAAAACTTATAAATTTTAAATATAATGATAATTAATAATTTTTTTAATACTTTTAGATTAATTATTATGTCTTTTTTGTAATCAACCTTTACCTAATCTTTTACTGAAAAATTATTTAAATATTTAAAAATATCACAAAAAAGTAAATTATATATTTATTTTATTTTTATAATAATATTAAAATATTTTGATTTTTTTTAGAAAAAATATTAGAAGTTGTATAGAGTTTTGTTTGATACATTATGCATAAACTGAAATTATTCCATTAGGTATAAAGACAAGTTATTTTACAAATATTAATTTTGAAATTTTATCAAATCAGATTAGTAATATTTAAGATGATTTATTAGACATTATTAATTTTAAATTAGCAAGTTGGTTTGTAATTTATTATTAACTGTTTATAATAAAATTGGATTTTGAAAAGCAAATACACCAATGATGATTTAAGAGTAAAATTAATTTATAAATATATTTTTTTTATATGTTTTAAGATGAAATAATCATGTCAAAGTTTTGGCAAATTTGTTTTTAAAAACAAATGTTTTACCATTTGAAATAAGCAAATCCTCTAAAGCCAATTGATTATTTACATGAAAAATTAGTTCCAAAAGTAATTATTAGACTAATAGTTCAAGATTTTAATGGAAAATTATCATTAGAAGAAGCAAGAGAAATTATGAAAGACACTGCAGATTTTTTGGTGCATATGTATATAACGATTAAATAATTGTTATGCTGTAATAAAAAATAAAATTATTTTTGAATTTGTATAAGAAATTTAAATTTGCAATAAGAAAATTTACGTGAATATTTTTTGTCTTCGCCGCAGCAGTTGCGTAAATACAATATTAATTTTATTTTATTTACACAGTATAAATTATATAATATTACACAAAACATTTTCATTCAATAAATCGTTAAAACTTATCGCACACCCCGATCTTATTAAAGAAGGCGGGACCCCATTTGAAAATAAATTGCAACTTTCCTAATTATATTTCCCCCGGTGTAGGTGCCCGAATTTCGAATTATTCAATAAATCATGCGTGGGAATTTGATCTTTATAGTGTTAATCACATGCCATTTACATGTGATATTTATCGGAACTTTGATTAGATAAACGGATCGTATTTTCTAAATTATTTTAATCGGTTATCTATTATAGTTAAGAGCTGATTAATCCTCGACACTTAATAATTTAAGAATAGTAATGAAAACGTTTAATTCTTTTAAGTGAAAAATGTGCTTAAAAATGGCTGCCTAAATTTTTTATTATTTGGTGGGATTCATACGGATCGTTAGATGTTTTTATTTTTAAAAAAGATAAAATCGGGAAAAATCATATGATTAATTGTTATTCATCTTTAATAGCAGTGAATTTACAATGATTTTTGATTCTTTTAAAATGATTACAAAATTATACAATTCGGAATCATATATGAAGCTCTTCCTTTCCTCCATCCGTAATTCATAAATATGTAAGCCATATTTCGAAAAGCACGAATTCTGAAAATATGTCTATATTGATTAAAAAATCATATAAATATAGGGACTGATCAAAGGAATTTCGAACAAAAAAAAATCAAATCAAATCATAAATAATCTCTGAATAATAATAAATTCTTCTTACAACAATATTTTGCAATGAAATATCTTTTCTTATTTATCGTTCTTGTTTGTATCGTCCATGGCCTGACAGTTCACGCATCTCCTCTAGGTAAAAAAAAAAATTTTGAAATTAAATATTTTCATTTATAACATTTACCTTTCTATTTTCTCACACATGCATTTAATTTAACATTTTCATTGATAGCTGAATCTAATCGCCTCATGAAACGCTGTAAAACTAATGATGATTGCCACGGTGATGAATGTACTCCAGAAGGAACATGTGCGACAGCTCATATTGATTGTTGCTGGATGCCTCCTATTTATTGTTGTGGAGGTTGAATAATGGAACGTTACTTTTAGTTTTTTTTCCTTTAATCTTTATCTAAACTAATTATTTAATGCAACACGTATACCCTCACTAAACAAATCAATTCAAATCAATTTATCTACTAATTCTCTAATGTAATATTCAAGTTAAAAGCAATTTATATTTAATTTGCGTTCATTTACTTACAAATAAAATGAAAATGAAAAGCTTTTAACAAGGTTCCTGTCTAGTAATTAATTAGTTTCACTGACAATTTTCAAGTTGCTTGATTATGACCTTTTTGACCACAGTTTCGACAACATTTTCTAGTATGTTTTTCTTGGTATTCAGTTTTAAAAGCATGGCTTTTTTGGATGGTATTTATCTGTGCAACTAGTTTTTTGTACATCTTTAGACCAAAAGATTTTGCATCTGCCCACGTTTGAAAGTTTTATCCTACATAAATTTTTGATTGTTCTAATAATTGTCAGAATAAACGCTATCAATTATTTAAAGTTTTCGGCTTGTTCTTGATTAAGTATTTCTTTATCATAAAGTATTTCAATATTTTCAAACAACTTTTATTTGTATCATTGTTATCGTATTAAAAATTTATACAATATATAATAAGCTTTTAAACTTAATTCCTATCAAACACAAAAAGTGTCGATGATATTATGATTAATAAATCATTCAACATTTACTACAGATGAAATAGCTTTATGAAAAATGAAAAAAGCGCGAAAAAAAGGAAAAAAAAAATGCGAGTAGAACTTCATTTTATAAACTTGTATTTTACTTTTAAAAATTTTTTATTTTATTAATATGGTTAAAAAAGTTTTTGCTAATTACTCTTTTATGTATATAATTACTAAAATTAGTATTATCTTCTATAATTTTTTATAGCATCTTCAAGTGATATATTATTTATATCCTGAGAAATCAATCATAATGCAATTATAGGAACTAAAACCTTTTGCAAGAAGTCTTGTATTTTTAAAAGAAACCAAATCATATATTAACAAATTGTTAAATAAAAATAGTTTTAAAAGTAGTGTTTCACTAATTATAACTAGTCCTTTTTATCTTTGCTATAAAAATAATCAAAGATAATATAAATAATAATAATTAAAATAGTAAATCTTATTATTATATACAATCAAAACTCAATATAATGAATCTTTAGGATTAGTAATTTTGATTTATTATAATAAGGATTCAGAAAAATGATTTTTTTTTTTTAATATATTGATTTAAATAGTAAAAAATAAAAGTCTGTTATATAAATTTACTATTATTTTATTTATTATTTGCTTATTAGTATGCTATATTATTTCTTTATTATCCCTTAAATTGTAAAGCAGGCAAATTTGCCTGCGAACATAAAATAAAAGTATTAATTTTTTAATAAAAAATAAAATATTAATGTTAATAATATAATTATTATATAAAAAATATAGTTTAAT